GATGCGAACGATGATGTAGCAGACCATTCGAATGATATTAGTAAAGTTGGTGATCTGATTATTGAAGAGACTGATGAATGGATACCACCAACTGATGAGCAAGGACCACTCCCTCCCTCTCTCTCTCCCTCTGCCCCCATCACCTCTCATTATAAGGAAGATATTGGGATTGAAGAATGTGATGATGAAAAAGATTTATCAATTACTGATAATGGGGTTAATGAATACCAGTCTGAACCTCAGTCTTCGTCAAGAAGGAATGAGTCTCAGTCTTCCAGGAACAGGTCTCAGTCTAAAAGGAATGGGTCTGAGTCTAAGAAGAATGGATCTGTGTCTAAGAAAAAGGGGTCTGCATTTAAGAGGAATGGGTCTGAGACTACCAGGAATGGGTCTGAATTTAACAGGAATGAGTCTCAGCCTAAAAGGAGTTATGAGTATCGGAAAACTGCTAATCTTTCTTCAGTTTCAAGTGAATTGACGTACGTTAGTCGACATATCAGAAGAGAAGGAGGAGGAGGAGGGAGGGAACTTTAAGGATTCTCCTCAAGCAATGGAGAGGGACAGGAGTGAGAATATCAATAATGAAGTACATGTACTGGATGAAATGGAAAGAGGAGAAGGGGAGGAAGAGGAGGAGGAGGAGGAGAATAGAGTTGAAGGTGTTCCTGAGATGCCATTACTGAGAGTGAAATCAACTACAAGTCTTTATGTACCAGGTAAGGGAGAGAGAGAGAGAGGGAAGGAATACAGTATATTTGTACATGCACAGTACAAGTACATGTACATATAATATATTATGTACTCATCAATTTTTATCTCAGACGCACATACTGTACATGTATACTGTATATGTAGTACATTATTACATGTACATTGTATATTGAATTGTGTTACCGTACAGAAGGAAATTTTGGATGGACTAAATTTTGGTGAATTGCTAAATTTTGGTGATTGGCGAATTTTAATTTGGCGAATTTGTGGCCATGTGCCATTGAGCATGCGCATAATGGCTCAAAATGGTGAGTTTTTATTTTGGCGAATGGCTATCAAAACTCCAAATTCGCCAAATTTAACTACCTCCAAAATTTCCTTCCATACGGTATTATGTTCATTAGATTATGAGTATCAGAATAAGAGGAAGAGAGCCACTCCTTCATATGCTGCTCATTGCATTAACAGTTCAACTGCTCTTGGACCACCTTGTCCTCTGTATGGGGTCACACAACCAACTGAAGCTGAAAGTAAGATTTACATGTACATGTACATGTACATGTATTAACAGTTAATACATGTACGTACATGTGACTTTCTTCATGATACAAGCCCTAGAGACTCACAAATTACATGTATACATGTACATGTACATGTAGTATGCATTTAAACATAGCTATTCATAATTCATATTCATTTTACAGAATAAAAATAAAACATCACCAATTACATGTACATGTACATGTGATATTCCATTTGTCTTTTAGTT